ATGATGTGAAGTCAGGCCGAGTTCACCTGGTGCTGGAGTGGCTGCCCAGAGTCGCTGACCTTCCCAGGCTGGAGCAGGTAACATATTTGCTCTTTTTATTTTATTTCATATTCTCTTTTTATTTTGGTATACAGTACCTTGGCAAAATAAAAATGATGTAGTACTGTAGTTGTAATGAAACTAAGAAGCCTTGACTGTGCATACCTTTTTTGAACTATAAAAAAGTATAATGCATTGAGTAATAATAAATAATACAAAATTATATATGTGCAAATAATTTAATAAAATAAGATAAAGATACAGGTACATAAAAAAGAAAAATAAAGTGCATAAATAAAGCTATATTTTCAAGGTAGAACCAGAACCTTGGCTGTGCACCTTGGTTAAACAAAATTGACATTAGACAAATTATTATCAGACAGGTTTAATTATTATTAGACAGCTTTAATATACAAGATCCAACATTCACATATTCTTACAAACTGATCGTGTTGCAGTCTTAAGTAGAATGTTGTTCTTTCCATCATGAATCAGTTGAAGGTGTTTCTTAAGCCATTTTCTAGTAATGACCTTTTTACTGCAGCACTTACTGTATTTACCAAATTGACACATTTCTCTGAAGGCAGGGCCCCCAAACAAATGACTTTAAAACATATATTCAGATGTTTTTCTATTTAAATGCAAACTGTGAAAGAGTTGTTTGTTGCTCTAATAGTTCCCCCTGTCCCGTTGATCTCTTCGTAGTGCACATGCAATATCAGAGATACGGGACACATTTTGTGGTTTCTGTGAGAAAAAAAAATGCATTTAAAAAGTCCCGCCAAATAGCGTAGTCTGGGTTAACCAAATCATCTGAAGTTACAATCTTTTTCGTGAGCAGCTGCAGAGATACTTTGCATGTAGGTTTGTTTCTGTCTGAATCTCAACTGCAGAATAAGATACTGACTTGATTTGTCCTACTCAACTTGGGTATTGCACCATAAGTCTCACTAAAATGCAGAGTCTCTGTGTGACATAATTTCCCACTTCCTACAGATCTTGCAGTACCAGTCACAGCAGTCGTACCACAACAAGGTTGTGCCATCATCCGCTGTGCTGTTTGTGTATGTGGAGCGTGCCCATGGCCTTCCGGTGAGATCATATCTATGAGTCCTTGGGGCTCTGTTTGTTGTTTATTGGGGCTGTGTTTTTACTTGCCCTAAAGAGTGCAAGTAGAAGTAGTTGCTTTTAGTGCTAGTATTTTGCATAAAACACTGTAGTGTCCCAATACAGCTGCATTCTCATTTATACATTAAATATCTTGTGATGTAATGTGTGTTTTAAATGCTGTAGATGCTGTTGATTACAGTGTTTGCATTACAATGTTCTTTGAGTGTAATTTCAGTTGAAGAAGAGTGGGAAGGAGCCGAAAGTCGGGGCTGAGATTATTCTCAAAAGCGTTTCACACAAAACCAAGGTAGGACCATGACGTTTGAGATGAGCTTCTGAATGCAACAAAGGAGAAGTGCTGTTTGAAAAGTCTGAACATTCTGCTGTGCCTTCTTTCCTTAGATCTGTGAGCGTTCCACATCCCCTCGATGGGACGAAGCCTTTCATTTTCTGGTTCGGGACCCCAGAGATGAAACACTCACAGTGAAGGTGAGAGTCATAAACAGCAGCTGTATTTACACTTTTTGTCTGAACTATGTAGCTGCAAAGCAGAAAAAAATAATTTCATAATAATTTTATAAAAGGCGGTCTGAAAAGTGTTTGTGTCTGTTTGTAGCTCTCCCACTGCTGGGGCCAGGCCCTTGGGTCCTTCACACTTCCTCTCAGAGATGTGCTGTTTGAGCCGGGCCTGGTGCTCGACCGCTGGCTCAATCTGGATGGAGCACTGCCAGAAAGCCAGATACTACTGAGGGCCACGCTCAAGGTACGAACAATATATCCTTCTTATTGTCTCTACACTACTAATATACTGCGTATGTGACCAAGTGAGCAATGCCTTGATTGCTATTATTTCTGTACTGTATCACTTACATTTCCCTCTATAGAGCAAATATTGCAATATACTGAATACTTTACTGATGGTCCAACATCAGATTTTCAGCATTTCTTACTGAATATCATGTGCTGAAAGACAACAGATATCCCCCACAATGCCTCTGCTCTTGTCAATACGGGTATAAGAAAATGTCGATATACTTGAGTTTTGCAATGTTATGTTTTGTGATACTGTATCTATTCTCAAAAACACAGTATTGATTTTTAATTAATGGTTTACACAACCACCATACCACCAAAAGACACAACCACCATACATATACAGATACTCACAAGGTGTCCATCAATCACAGGGAAAGAGAAAGTCATCCTGGGAAATGTAGGAGATCACAGCCATATATATCCCTGTACCAGTATCTGATTCTTCCTGCATAGCTAGTCTGTAAAATTGAGTCCTTAGTCAGACATGAGTTAAATGATTATTATGCAGCAGCAATGTCTTGCTTAGCTGTGATCCGTATGTCCTGCAGGTCTTGGACACTCAGCTAGCGGTGTGTCGTAAGGCTCCAGGGGACGTAGGTAGTGACGGCGGAGTAGAGGAAGCCATTCCCAGATGGGTGCCTTCCCATCTAGACCTCAGACAGAGAAGTGGATTCATGTGAGTCACACATAGCAGCATCGATGCCACATGGTAGTCACTGCCTCCGCTGTGAACATTGCAGTTATCAGGGTTGCCTCAGTGTCTTCCATTTTATTTGTATATTGTCCTAAATATTCAAAGACATCATTATGTAAACAATCACATTTTCTACTCTGTGTGTCTTTAGGGCTGATAACCCAAACTCAGCAGGCCAGGTGAAGCTTACCGCCGGCTACTCCATCGAGGAGAGCAGGCTTTTCATCACCATTCACTCTTGCAGGTCTCTCTATATGACACATGTCACCTCTTTATCGTCACCTTTTTGACCTGGAGCACTCTGTACCAACACATGTTGTGAATGTGATCACTATTAACCCACAGAGCGCTGGCAGCCTGCTCCAAGGACGGTGCAGACCCTTATGTTTCCTTCATCCTGCTGCCTGACAAGAAGGCTACCACCAAGAGGAGGACTGCCACCAAGAAGAGAGACCTCAACCCAGAGTTCAACGAGAGGTAAGATAAACAAATGAATCACTTGTGATAGTGAAGAAGTGAAACTTGTTAGTTGACTTCTCTCTCTTTCTGTAGGTTTGACTTTGACTTCTCTCTGGAGGACTCCACACAGAGAAGACTGGACCTGTCTGTGAAGAACAGCGTTTCCTTCATGAGCAGAGAGAGGGAGCTTATCGGCAAGGTATATATCATCTTCTGAAATGAAGTTAGTCATCATCACATACATTCCCCGGTGTGGACGTAGTTATTATGTGAGACTTGTAAATGTGAGACATCATCTTTTGCTTCTCCTTGTTGCCCTCAGTTGCAGCTGGACCTGGACCAAATCGACCTCAAGACTGGTATCCCACAATGGTAATCATTTAAACAGCTAAAGAACAATATGATATATAATAGAGCTGTATCAGCAATTGTATGTTCGTATATTACTTTCTTCAAGATTATTCACACAACAAATTGTATCCTTTCTGTTTTTCCAGGTACGATTTGGTAGCAGAGACCAACTAGAAGACTCAACGGATGGTCTTACGTCCTATTTCATGTTAGGTGTTGCTTCTGTGATCTGTGATTTGTGTGTTTGTATATTCAGCTTAAATGAACATTTCCACCATCACTGAAGAAAAAAATGAAGACATATCTGCTCCACAAAAACACAGTTCATCAGTATTTATGAAACTTTACATGTTGCTTATCATCCGTAAAGTGTTAACTGTGGTGAATTCATGCTGTCTTGGACAGATTCTTCAATAGAATATTTTGGCTGAATAGATATTTGATAATAATGCAACTATGTTGCACAACCTACCGAGTTTATATGTGTTCAAAAGCATGTCTAAGTCCTCTTTGAATTTTATTCACAAAAGGGCTCATGCTGTGGTCAATATCTTAAGGTAAGATATGTTTATGGATTTACAGCATCCAACACAAGTGAGAGAAATTCCTTAGAATTTTATTTTTTACGACTTTCAAATAATTCCCGATGTTACTTTGTTTGTATATGTTTGTATTATTGCCTTAAGTATTCCAAAGCTGTGCACAATTTGTCAGTGTTTATGAATTACGTTCCAAATGAAGTTGTATATGTTTTAGCCAGAGCTCTATTAACGTTGCTTTTATAAATCAAAAGTATTATGAACCTGTACCCTCATATTTACCACTGCAAACAGAGGTATGATACTGTAAGCAGAGTCTAAATCACTGTGCTTTTATTATAAGAAAACTTTGTAGATACTGAAAACACATCGCTGGTGTACTTACACCCATGCTTTTTTGTGTTTGCACGTATTGGTAGCGCTAAATGCAACAGGCTGAAGCTGTCAGCCATGTTTAGACTTCAAGCAAAACAGTTAGGACCTTATGAGAAGCAAGCTAACTTTGTACACCAGCAGTGGGACAAAGGCTTGGGCACTGATTTGTGGTGATGGAAAGAAAATAGTGTTTTAAGAACTGAAGAAGAAAACTGCTGAGCTTTGACATTATTTGAACATATCATCCTGTATCTGCTGAAGTTGTTGATTAAAATTTGCACTCTCATGAATCAAATCAGGTTTGTGACCTTATTATTGTGTGCTGTTTCTTTTTAAACTAAATTCTAAAACATTATTTTTTTCGTGTTGATGAAATATCATATGTGGCCACCAGGTGGCGACAACGTGCTGACAAACCCTCACCTTTCCGTCCAGTTGTATTTGGGATCACTGCCTGCAGATGTGAGGGTGGGGGAACAGAAATAAAGCGATTGACAGGTCCTTTGACCAACAGGAGCGCCGCCTCCTCCAGTTTGGGGCGGGACTAGAGAGAAAACCTTCCCTCTGAGTGGAGGCAACAGCGACGACTTTAATCACGATCACACAACAATAATGAATGGAAACACGTCGTAGCCAAGAAAGTTGAGCAGCAATTTAAAGTAACTGTTGCTCGGCATTTGAAAGTTGTGTGTCGCGAGGGGAAATCCGTTTTAAGTAATGGATTGGCCAGGCAAATTAGAAACTACTTGCTGGAAGAGAAAGCATCTGCACTTTGATTGTTACTTTTGAAAGTATAGGTGTTTTTAAGAGACGCTACTGTGGAGCACACTGTCAATCTTAAACGCGTGAGTAAAGTGTAAATGGCATTTTGGGACGGTGATACGAGACTACTGCACTGTCAGCAGTTTATCTCGTTTTTGGAGAAGCGGTTTTATGGATTAATCCGTAAATGAAGTTGTTGGAATATTTGGGAGATTTTTGATCTTTCGTTTTGCTTGGATTATCACCACTGGAAGACATTTAAGGATTCAAGTTGACCCCGGAGGATACAGCACATCTGGGGGAAAATGGGTAATATAGAAAGCGTGGATGGCCAGTCGGAGATGAAGCATCACATCATGCCTCTGAAGGTTCCCATGCCTGAACCCACCGAGCTGGAGGAGAAATTTGCCATTGTTTTGGTGAGTTGTGATCGTCTCAGTTTGTGGTCAAAGAGATATATCTACCAACCTTAAAGTATGGTGCATTTTAACTTCTGTTCTGGCTCCATCTGCCTCATACATTAAATCATTTACAGAATTCAAATTCAAAATAGTGCCAGCATAAACATCCCTAATAACGGATGGTGTTTCTGTAACAAAAGAGTGTATTTGTGCGCTCTTTTGTTTTTTGTGACTTGGGCCTGCATGAAAGTATAGCGCGTGTATTTACATTTCTGTATGGTCCAATTAAGAGCTGCAGATATTTTAAATGAACCGACCTGTGCTGTTCCGCCCCTCACCCCCCCCCCCCCTTCCTTTCTCCCTCTCCTGCGGTTCTTTTGTCTCCCCTAAAGTCAGACAACTCAGCGTTTGGCTGAAGTAAGCAAGGTGAGAGTTGGCAGGGGTTTTGGCATTATACTGTATATCCTTGACAGAGCACATCTCGGCATTCTCCGCCTGGGTTTGTTTAAAGTTTTCTCGCTGCATGCGAACCATCTGAAAACAGCATTTTCTGAATTCCCCCAAAACTCCCACGCAGAGTCTCTCGCCTCCCTTCACACTCCACACCGGGCTGGAGTTGCGCTTTGTATTAATGAGCACACAGTCAACACCCACTTTTACCGACTATCAACACAGTCACTCTGTCACACTGGGGACTTTACAAGTTTTCTCTTTTTTTTTTTTCAGGAACAATCATGTGGATTTAGAATAAATGAAATGTCAGGCTGACTGAGGAAGTGGGCGCTGCAGTCAGTCATCTCCAGCGGTGGAAAATATCTAATCTGTAACTCTACTCTTGTCCATCGACACACAGTTAAATAACCAGCAACTATTTTGATCTTCAGTTAATCATTTAGGTCATATTTTAAGCGAAAACCCCAAACATTCACTGGTCACAGCTCCTGCAATGTGAGGGTTTGCTGCTTTTCTTCGTCTTATGTGACAGTAAACAGAATATTTTGGGGGTTTTGCACTGTTGGTTTAACCAAACAAGTCACTCAGGCATTTTTCCGCTATCTTTTGACATTTTGTAGACCACATTATGAATTGAGAAAATAAAGTAAATATGTCAATCATGAAAATAATCTTTGCAGCTGACACTCTTTCGCTCAAGTAGATTGTTAATTAATCCAGTATTGTATTCAACTTCTTACCTATTACAGAGTAGCCAGCAACAGTGGTTCCCAATCTGGGATTGAGGATTTGCAGGAGCGCAGTGGGTTACAAGATAATTCTGAGGGGTCACCAGATAAAAGGGATAATTAGAAAACAATCTTACAAAAAATCACTTTCTTTTATCAAAATGTAGTGGTTTTTTTCTTGAAGCTAACAATTGCAATAAAGTTATTTTACACCAGAAAGTCATGCAGGCAGGTGCATTGAATCAGAAACCCTTACTCGCTCACGTTGTTCACAATGTTTTGATACTCAGCCTGTAAATTCATATGAATTCTGCCTGATAAATGGATTGTGAGTACTCACTAGGTGCCCTTTTCCTGTGAAAAAGGGCACCTTTTCACACCTTCTTTCCTTTTCTTTTATGAAATAGTTCAACATTTTGGAAGTACTTTTCTTACTTTCCTGCCGTGAGTTAGATGAGAAGAAAGATACCACTTAAATCGGAAGCTTAACTCTGCATAAAGATTGGAAACATGTAGAAACAGCTAGCCTGTTTGTTTAATTCATACTAAAACCTGTGATGCTGGGTGGACATTGCCTCATTTTAAGGGGTCACAAGTCAAAAATTCAGGGAACCGCAGGCCTACAGTAAAGCATTAATGGCACAGTTAAGGAAATACAACATTGCAGTTTGCTTTGGACGTAAATGGAACTTTTGTCAACGATTTGTTTAACAACATCTGAGAAATGATTGCCACTTTGAAGAGAACTGGCCTGACCCTAGAAAGCTAAACTGTTTGCTTCATGAAATAGTTCAGGATGCCGCATTGGCCTTTTCACAGTCCCACAGTGGTGGAATATCTTTCAAAAGAGCTACTTTTTGTTATATTTAGTTGAGTAACATTTAAGCCATGCGGTATTATTCACAGAACCTGTATTTGAGTACTCTTTCCACACTTTCATTTTCCAAAAAGAAAACAGAAACCTCAATAACATCCCTCCAACATGTTGCTGAATAAAGTTTTCATCACCATATTTCCTGTTTATTTTTTTGTTAAACAGTTGCATGGAGGTTTCACACAGGTACTTATTTAAACATAACCACACCTTGATTCTCTTCTGTTTAAGAGCTTAATTACAGCTTCAAGCAGCTAAGATCTGCTCATTCTTGAACACTTTGTGGATCCTCCATGTTTCTGGAATAAAGCCATTATTTGCTTGTCAGAGCTATCAGCAGCTACAGAGTAAAGCCCTCATATGAAGAGACGAGCACAGCAAGAAGCCATTCATGGCCTGCTTGTTGACTGCTGTGCTAATCCTCACTCATTATGACAATTATGCACTGTACTCCGCTGTCAGCACCATTGTGACAGCTCAAGTCGTGTCTCTTTCACGCAGACTGCTCCTTGCTTGGGACGGTTTATTTCAAGTTTTTCCATAGGATTTGTAGGCGTCACATTTCCCATAAAGGAAAAAAAGATCAACATAAATCCTGCCCGGAGACTGGAACAATTTTCTGTTGTTTGACTGCCCCGCAACACAAAGTCAATCCCTGTTATTATGTTCAGCCGTGCAGAGCAGATGATTTCTATGCAAGCGGCAGTAGACTCAACATTTCAGTTGTGTTTTTGACTGGGAACATTTTTCAAGCTCTCCAACCCCACCCCATCCCATAGTAGCCCCAGATTTCCTTTACTTTGTGGGAAAGAACAACATGCTTGTATATTTTAGTGTTCTTATCAGACAATGGACGTCTCTCTGCCCTGCTGGCCCCTTGTTTTCGAGATAAAGGCACATCAAAAGCTTCTGTCTAAGCGGTTGGAGCTCTTCAGGAAGACAAGGCCATGGATCTGTTCTCTGACAGTGGCTGTAAAGTATCATATACTCCAGAAATAGTCTGAGGGATTCACTCTGCTTTTTCTAAATTGGGCAGGTTTCTTTGTTCAGTATTTGTTAGCGGGGACATAACCGGCTTCGTCGCAGCCTCACAAATAACCCGCGTTCCATAAATGGATATTTTGAAAGGGGTACATTCCCCTTCTCTGGACCACTGTGTTTCCTGCTGCACGATGGCATGCTGGCGTGAATGGATGTGTCTGCATCTGCGTGGTGGGACTGCCCTCCCCTCTCAGACACAGACGTCCCACTGGACTGACAGCAGCCCATAATGATGTCATGGGTGCAGCAGCCTTCGCCAGTGTAGTAATATCCCAGGGCTAATGACTTTACCAGGACTGCTCTACTGTAGACGGTGGAGGGGAGCGGAGGAGGGGCGAGACCCCTGGGGTTAGCTTCAACTTCTTCATGCGGTCTGCTAATAAAATGCCTGGGTCCATTCTAACCAGCAGCATGTGCTAAAGGCATCGTCTCCTTCTCGTCTCTTTTGTCCAGCATCCTCAGAAACAGCCTGAGCTCTGTCTTTTGCGGCTGGAAACAGCTGCCTGGCATTTTCCTGTCTTCGTTTTACAGGGGAAACTGCATTGCTTCCAATGGTCGTTGTGGTTGGTTCGCTGTACAATAAGAACTGTGTTCCTTGAGGTTGCTACTGGTGCATACCATGCCATTAGTTCAGCTAGTGATACAGATCTACCTTGACAGGTACCTTCACAGATGCACAACATAGGCCATATCTTTACAATTATACCTTAGTCATTAGTAGCATCCTCTTGATGGTTTTGGCTCTATTTTCCCCTTTCTTTGCTCCAAATGAAAGTGGAACCTCTCATTCACTCACCCACGCAGTGTTTCCTATACCCTCCCATTCCCTGAATTCACTCTCACCGTGGGCCTGTCCTACAAAATACCCTTCTCCATATGACTCTGTCCTTATGAAAATGATGTGAGATCAGTGAGTAGCATTTTCAAAGTTGCACGCCTGGCCTCGGATCCTCTTTCAAAGTGCCCGAGCACCGATCCACCACTGGATTCCTGCGGTCTAGTCCCAGCTGAGGCCACAAGAGAACTCAGAAAGGGAAAATTCTCTTTGAACTGGCGGTCTGCCACTGTTCTGGGTTGTAATGACTTAACCAACATTATTAAACAGCGCACACATATTTAAAAGCTGTTATGGGAGCAGCTTTTGATTATTTACACCACTTGAATGCGTTGGAAACCATTCTAACCCATTTGTCTGACTCACAATCTGTTATGCTATTACATCAAGTTGCGTCATTTGCAAATGTGCCGTTGCAGCTTTTCTTTTGAGATGTGATGTTATCAAAATTGAGTAGCAGCAAATGTTGGGAAAACTACAAATGGAAAGAGTGGTGGAGAAATCCGACATGCTGACGATGTGACTCCAGCTGTCTGTCTGACGTCACTGTGTCTTGATGGCGGAAGTCTAAAGCTGCATTGTCTGATAGATGCTACTCTAGTGGAACTAATGGAATCAAGCTGCGAGATGTGTTTATTGGACATAAAACTTAAATCATTTGCTTTTGTCGAATGGCGGTCGCAGTTTATTTATGTGCTTACTATGTCTACCACTCCCTTTCTCTCACGCGCCATCTTTTCTAAAATAAGAAAATGTGTTTGTTATACGTCACTTAAGTTTGAAGTGTGTGTGCGCATCTGGCTCAGCCACCCACCACTATATCCCAGGAAGAGGGAGGATCATGGGAGTTGAGAGCACACAGTTAAATTGGTTTTAGATCAGCGGAGCAGGCAGGGGAGGTTCAGCACAAGGCTGTCCACCTGGCTCTCTCCACCCTCGGGCTACAATTACCCAATCTGGACCAGGCTTTATGGGGAGTTTTAGTGCTTCTCCACTTCTCTCCATGTCGTTATTTTGGAAAGCAAAGGTCACGTTAAAGACCATGACTGAGCAGATATAACATATCCCCATATAGCCGCATTTGGGG